AAACAAACCACACCGAGCCAATATTTCAAAATTAGAGACGGCACAAGATAGCCTTAATAGCTTTGTAATAATTAAATATGCTTCGGTTTATTCTATAGTATAGCACGTAACTGTCACTGACAATCATATCAACTGGAGTGTTATTTCCCTACACAAACTGTTCATCAAATTAGAAAATGTAAAAAGGTTTTTCATATTCAAACGAATCAGTCGAAACGTAAAGAAAACGTAGGAATTAAATTCCAAGAAGAACGAGAATTCCTATTCCATCAACACTATAAATAAACAGGCATTTAGCCTTTTCAAAGAATGAAAACTGAAACCTAACAAAACTTGAACTCACTTTGCTAATTGTTGGACACGCTCAGGTACACTGTCAACAATATTGCTATAATTATGAAGTCACTTTGCTAATTGTTGGACAAGCTCAGGTACAGCGTCAACAATGTTGCTCCAAATTTTGAACTTGTTTTGCTGATTGTTGGACAAGCTCAAGAACAGTGTCAACATTGTTGCTCCAAATTTGAACTCACTTTGCTAATTGTTAGACACGCTCAGGTACAGTGTTAACAATGTTTCTACAAATTTAAAGTTGCTTTGCTGATTGTTGGACAAGCTCAGGTACAGTGTCAACAATGTTGCTATAAATATGAACTCTCTTTGCTAATTGTTGGACAAGCTCAAGTACATTGTCAAAGATGTGGCTTCAAAGAATGATATAATCTGTAAGGATTGTACTAGTCTTATGTTCCTCAAGGCAACCAAAGGATATATTAGTTACTCTCAGTTATCAACCATATACGAGGAATGCTGCATGGAGTGTAATTGCAGCTTCAAAGGTTTGTGTTCTGTAGGTCATCAACAGGATTAGATTAGAATCTACTTCTACTTCTTTTGAAGCTTTCCTACTTACTCTACTAACTAATTCATTCAATACAAGGTAATCGTTTTGCCCTGTCAGTCCACAGGGTTGTTCCGTTTTTTAAGTCTCCAAGAAAGTAAACGAGTCAACAAATGACACTGATTCAAGTGTTCGTCGTCCATCAATGTAAAATTGCACAGGAACTCAATATCTCGATAAAATTCGTTGGTCAACTTTTAAGGCAATCTTAAAGCTTATTGATTTGGTATAACACATGTCTGCAGTATCTTATGAAAGCAAGTGGGTCACGACTATGATGTATTTGTTCCCATCTTTGGACTGTGACTGATATTGAACCATGAGTATGCACGGCTACTTTTCCAAATGAAATTGCAGACTGTGTTATCAAAAACTCTCTACAATGTCAACGTGATTTTGCGAGATCTCTGTTAAAACAATGATCGTACGTTGAGTACCACTCTATCCACTAGTAGATGACATTCAGTCAAGTCTAATCTTACATAATTTCCCCATCAGATTATTCTTAACATTATAATATTTTCAAAAGCAGTTGAAAAACTAACTATTGTTCAAAGTAGATTTCAAATACTGGATATATACATGAACAGAGTTGTTTAACATACAATCTGGAAACCAAAACACGTAGGTACACCATCAGATCCTGCAGAATAGCTCTTGTTTTAGAACCCTCCTTATGATGATGTCCTCTTATCGGAAGAATATGGTTATGACAATGTGTTTCTGATTAAAACAGTAGTAACAACTGTTACCATATTCTCTCAACCTCCCTCTTTTTACACTAGTGCACAGTTTTATTTAATTCCATTGGGATCAATACATTTAAACCTGTGAACAATGGAGAACCATTGTCTTCCAGGATGTCTTTCAGTTTTATTTTTCATCAGTTCTGCGATATCAATATCATTAGTATCCCGAAGAATGTTCTCTGGACGTTATTAACCTTCAAAGGCACTTCTGTAACGTTAGCTTATCTTATATTATATAATAGTCTTATATATTATCTCCGAGATGGGATTAACATCAGGGGTTCTATTTAAAGCAGGATTAACATCAGGGGTTTCATTTAAAGCAGGGCTATTGGTAGTTGTGATAGATCCCAGCTTATGGCAAGATAAACATCACAAATCAAACGTGAGATTAACGGCTACTTACAACGTTAATAAATACTAACATTCTTCAAATAAACTTAGGTCATATATTAATAACCATTGTAGGAATTACCAAGATCGTTATTAGTGTTTTGGGTATATTATAATTATAAAATGAAATAGTGAAAATATACTTGTTTTATACAATTGCATTGTTTTGATATTAAATAGGTAGTTAGAAAAAAATATTTTATTCATAAAATTACTCTTGAAGAAAATTATATCGTAATGGACAATCCTTGCACAAAAACTAATAGACAGAACTTTTGTAAAGTGGCAGACAACGAAACTTTAATCCACCAAGCACAGTTGACTGAGTCATAGAAAACGTATATATTAGGTAAAATGTGGGATTCTGAGTCATAAAAAACGTATATCTTAGGTAAAATGTGGGATTCTGAGTCATAAAAAAACGTATATCTTAAGTAAAATGTGGGATTCTGAGTCATAAAAAACGTATATCTTAGGTAAAATGTGGGATTCTGAGTCATAAAAAC